CCCTAAGGATAAGGAAACACACAGAAATTTGAAGCTGAAAGTAACCATGGCAACAAGAAGCCCCAGATGCAGCTCACTCAGAACTACTTTGACTTGATGCAGTCACACATTAATACCCACTTGAGTATTTCAAATTTGAAACCCTGAGGACATGCCCATTGGAGAATTTCTGATTTCAGATTTTTAGATTTGGGATGCTCAGCCAGTAAGAATAATGCAAATATTCAAAAATCTGAAAAAATCCAAAATCGGAAACACTTCTGCTCCCAATCATTTCAGATAAGGAGTATTCAACATGTATTTACCACCATCTCTACTGTTCTACACATGATGTATAGCATTCAATAAAAACTTATAAGACATAAAATTTTTTTAAGACTACAAAAAAGCCTCTGACAAAGACAAAGCAATCAACAGAATGAGACTCAGTTGATCCAGATGTCTGAGCCATTAGCCAGATAATTTTAAATAACTTTTATTAATGTGTTAAAGAATCTGTGCTAGGTGCAGTGGCTTACGACTATGATCCCAGCACTTTGGGAGGCCGAGGCAGACACATCACTTGAGGCCAGGAATTCAAGACCAGCCTAGCCAACATGGTGAAACTCCATCTCTACTAAAAATACAAAAATCTTTCTGGGTGTTGCGGCATGTGCCTGTAGTCCCAGCTACTTGGGAGGCCGAGGCAGAAGAATCACCTGAACCCAGGAGGTGGAGGTCATAGGGAGCCAGGATGACACCACCACACTCCAGAGTGAGACTCTGTCTCAAGAAAAGAAAAGAAAACAAAACAAAACAAAACAAAAGGAAGAAAAGGTAGAAATGAACAGATGGGAATTTTACTGGAGATAGAAACCACAGAAAAGAGTGAGATAGAAATGCTAGAAATAAAAAATATTGTAGCAGAGATGGTAAATGCCTCGGATGGGTTCATCAGTAGATTTGACAAAGCTGAAGAAACAATCAGAGAATCTGAATATAAGTCAACATAAATTACCCAAACTGAAACAGAGAGAATAGAGTGTGGAGGGGTGGGATAGTAATATCAGAACAGAACATATAAATACTGTGGGACATCAACGAGTGGTCTAACATACTTGCAGTTGGAATTTCAAAAGAGAATAGAGAGAAAGGGGCAGAACTATTTGAAGAGATCATGGCTACAATTTTTTTTAAAAATAATGAAAGAATCAAATTACAGACCTAAACATCTCAGAGAACACCCAAGCAGGAAAACAGAAAAAGTAAATAATACACCTATACCCATCATATTCAAACTATTGAAGACAAATAAACAGAAAATCTTGAAGATGTCCACAGGAGAAGACAATGTAATGTCAATTTCAAATGTTGCAAAAAAAAAATCCATCCTCACCCAGATTTATATACTCAGCTAAAATATCTTCTAGAAATAAAGGTGAAAAAAAGATGAGAGAATTTGTAAACAACAGCTCTGCCTTAAAAGAAATATTACAATTCTTCAACCAGAAGGAAAATGATACTAGGCAAAGATCTGGATCTATAAAAAGAAATAAAAAATTTCCAGAAATGATTAAATGAATGTTAACATAAAAGCCTTAGCCTCATTTATTAACTAATTTTAATTTTCTTTTCTCTTTTTTTTTTTTTTCTTTTGAGACAAGGTCTCGATCTGTCATCCAATGACAGCTCACTGCAGTGTCAACCTCCCTGGCTCAAGCGATCCTCCCACCCTAGATCCTCCAAGTAGCTGGGACTACAGGTGCACACCACCATGCCTGGCTAATTATTTTATTTTATTTTTTGTAGAGTTGGGGTCTCTCCATGTTGCCCAATCTGGTCTTAAACTGCTGGGTTCAAGTGATCTTCCCTCCTCAGCCTCCCAAAGTGCCAGGATTACAAGCATGAGCGACTGTGCCCAGTCCCTGTTTTATTTTTTATTTTAGGCATTCTAAAATATATTTATCTAAATCTGTACAGTTCAATACACTAGCCACTAACAAAAGGTAGCAATATAATGTAAACTAATTAACAATTTAAAAATAAAAGCTGGCTGGGTGCGGTGGCTCAAGCCTGTAATCCCAGCACTTTGGGAGGCCGAGACGGGCAGATCACGAGGTGAGGAGATCGAGACCATCCTGGCTAACACAGTGAAACCCCATCTCTACTAAAAAAAAATACAAAAAACTAGCCGGGCGAGGTGGCAGGTGCCTGTAGTCCCAGCTACTCGGGAGGCTGAGGCAGGAGAATGGCATAAACCCGGGAGGCGGAGTTTGCAGTGAGCTGAGATCTGGCCACTGCACTCCAGCCTGGACAACAGAGCGAGACTCTGTCTCAAAAATAAATAAATAAATACATAAAAATAAAAATAAAAGCTAAAATTTCAGTCCATTGTTATAACTAGCCACATTTCAAGAGTTCAACAGCCACATGTGGCCAGTGAATACTGTATTGGACAAAACAGAAAGCTTTATTGCACAGCACTGGTCTAGTAGCAACATATTTTGGGTTTATATAAGATGATAAGATGTAAAAGATGTGACAAAAAAAGCACAAAAGATTGGGGTGAGAATTGAAAGTACTGTTGTAAGGTTCTTACAGTAGTCTTGAAGCAGTTTAATATGTTTAAAGGTAGATGGTGGTTAATTAAACGTATGTATTATAAACTCTAGGACAAACATGGTAACAACTTTAAAAACTGGCATAATGAGCCCAAAGCAGAGGCAAATGTAATTTTTTAAAATACTGAAGTAACCTAAAAGCAAGGAGCAAAAAAGAGAAAAAAGGAAAAAATACAGATGAAACAAATAGGAAACAACAAGAGGATAGATTTCAGTTCAAATATATCAATAATTAAGACAATATAAATCATCTAAAGACACAAATTGAAATACAGAAATTGTCAGACAAGATAAATAAGAATAAATAAGAAAGTTCTCACTGCAGCTGTCCCTTGGTATCCGTAGGGGATTGGCTCCCACAGACCATAAGGATACCAAAGAATGTGAATGTTTAAGTTTCTTATATAAAATGTCTATAGTATTTGCATAAAACCTATGCATGCCATCCTGTACACTGTATAAATCATCTCTAGATTACTTATAATACCTAAAACAATATAAATGCTATGTAAGTAGTTGTTATACTGTATTACTTTTATTTGTATTATTTGTATTGTTGTATTGTTCCATATTTTTTTCTAATATTTTTTGATCCTGTTAGTTGAATTCATGCATGTGAAACGACAGATACAAAAGGCCAACTGTATACACTGCCTACAAGAAACCCATTTTAAAATAGAATACAGGTAGGCTAAAAGTAGCAGGATAAGTATATGAAATGTCTGGAATTCTGCTAATTGCCAGTGGGAATGTGAAATAGTACAGTCACTCTGGAAAACAGTTTGGCAATTTCTTATGAGCTTACACATATATTTATCATATGACCCAGCAATCCCTCTCCTATATTTTACTTAAGTGAAATGAAATACCTATGTTTGAAACTGCCCTGGCAAAAATTTTAATAGAGAAATCTAACCTAACTGATTCTATCTTGTGTCTAACCTACAAGCTTCCCTTGTTTGTTCCTGAGTATAGGCCCAGCTAAATATGGGAGGAATCTATAATAATTGTCTCTTCCCAAAACTAACTCCCTTATTGGAGTCAGGGACTGAAACTGCCTTTGTAAAACTAACAAATTAGCCACAAGCTTAGAATTATGATTCAAGAGTCAGGTAGCCAGAGGTCACAAGATTTGTAAACTTAATTTCTCCTATAGATAACACTACTATTGTGAACCCTAAGACTGGTGTTTGAGGTACTTCCCAGACCCTGCATTCTGATGGACCAGCTGGCACCATCCGGACTGGTAACCCATACCAAGAAACTGGCTCATCTGGTCTTGTGACTACCAGGCAGGAACTGACTCAGCAAAACGAGACAGCTTTGACCCCCTATGATTTCATCCCTGACCCAATAAAGCAGCATTCCCCATTTTCTAGCCCCCTGCCCACCAAACTATCCTTGAAAAACCCTAGCCTCCAAATTTTCAGGGAGGTTGATTTGAGTAATAACTCCCATATTTCTGCTTGGCTGGCCCTGCAATTATTAACCTCTTTCTCTATTGCAATACCACTGTGTCAGCTCTCAGTAAATTGGCTCTGTCTGTGCAGTGGACAAGAAGAATCTGTCAGGCGATTACTACACATACATACACACACACACACACACACACACACACACACACACACACACACCCCGTTCATGATTGTTTATAGTGACTCTATTCATAATGTTAAAATCTTGATGTAAACAAAGTGTCCTTAACTTGGAGAATAAACTATGATGCAGCTATGTAATGGATTTTTGCTCATCAATAAAAAGGAATGAACTGATAATACATGCAATAACATGAATAAATTTCAAATGTGTTATGCTTAGAAAAAGAAGTAAACTCAAAAGTTTGCATATGATATGATTTCATTTGTATGACATTCTGGAAAGGTAAAACCACAAGAAAAGAAATCAGTGTTTGCCAGATTCTGGGGGAAGGGGAAGAGGCTGCCTACAGAGGAGTGCAGGGGAATTTTGTGGGTAATGAAATTGTTCTATATCTTGATTTTGGTAGTGATGACAAGACTGTGTATGTTTATAAAAACTCAGAACTATACACTAAAAAGAGAAAATATGCACTATGCCTCAATAAATCTGAATTTTTAAAAAAAATACGTATTAGGGTTCTCCAGTGAAACAAAACCAATAGGATATGTATATATAAATAAGTGAGAGGCACTAGTCAGCCTGCCTTCATGGTAATTGCAAAAGGCGGGGCCCAGCACTCTTTCATGAATCTGATTTGGGTTCTAGAGGCAGAACTGGCAGATTAAAATGGAGCCTAAAGGTGTAGATGGACAAAAATACAAGCCCTCATAATGACCCTTTGTGTAGGGAGGGGGTATCTGTTTTATTCACTGCTCTACCTGAACACTGAGAACATTTCAGAGAAAGTAGGTACTCAATTCATTTCATTTCATGAATAATTTATTCAATTTGGATGTAGGTGGGGTCGTGTAGGAAAGTGACTGTAGAAGTGAAGGCTTGAAAGTGAGAAAGCACAGATGTACTGGAGACACAAGTAAAGCAGTCACAGATTGATGATGGTTTTCCGTGTTTTCTAAATGGATTTCACAGAAATAGAATTGGATTAATCAGTACTATTGGTCATAACACACTATCATCATTATTCTATGCACAACCCTCCTTTATTTTAATTAATTAAATTTGAGGAATTTTATTAAGGTATAATTAGCATACCTTAATAACTTAATTTGATATGTTTTGACATATATATGTTTCCATGAAACTATGACATCAAGATAATGACTATAACCATTGTATTTATATCCTAGGGTTGCTATAAAAAAGTACTACAAACTAGTTGGCTTAAAACAACAGAATGTATTCTCTATCAGTTCTGAAGGCTAGAAGCTCAAAATCAGGGTGTCAGCAAGAGAGAGTCCTTCTGAGGGTCTTGAGGGACAATCTGTTCCATGTGCCTCTACTAGCTTCTGGTGAAGACCTGTGATCCTACATGTTCTCTGGTTTGCAGATGCATTGCTCCAGTCTCTACCTCCATCTTCCCTTGGCATTCTCCCCATGTCTGTGTCTTCACATGGCCTTTTCTTATAAGGACAACAGTAATATTGGAATAGGGCTTATCCTAATGACCTGATCTTGACTTGATTAAATTTGCAAAGACCCTATTTCCAAATAAGGCCACACTGACAGCTTCTAGGAGTTAGAATCTCAGTGAATTTTGGGAGGAGGAAGGACATAATTCAACCTATAATATCCATCACTCCCCAGATTTCCTCACTATGCTTTATAATACCTCCTTTCTGACCCACCTCCTTATTACCCGACAACCACTATCACTTATTTTAACTACTACCTTACCACTTCTTTAACTATAGTTTATTTTTTCTAGAATTTTATAAAAATAGAAGCATATAGTACATACTTTTTTGTGGGAGTAGGGAATCTGGCTTATTTCATTTAGCATAATTATTTGTGAGATTTATCCATGGTATTGCATATACTGAGTCCTTTATATTGCTGAAAAATATTTGTATGAATATCCCACAATTTTTAAATCTATTTACTTCTTGATGGAATTTGTTTCCAATTTTTGGATTTCAAATAAACCACTGAATAGTAGTGTCTAAGTATTTGCATGAACACGTTTTCTTAGGTAAACATCTAGGAGTAGAATGACTGGGTCATATGGTAGGTGTCTGCTTAAATTTTAAGAAATTGTCATACTGTTTTTCGAAATGGCTTACCATTTTACATTCCTAGCAACAGTGTATGAAGGTTTCAGTTGCTCCACACCCTTGCCAACACTTCAGAATGGTCTTTTTAATTTCAGGCTAGATTCTAACAGGTGTGTAGTAGTATCTTATTGTGGTTTTAATTTGTATTGTCCTAATTACCAAAGATGTTGAACATTTTTTTATGTGCTTAGTTGCAGTCAGTATATCGTTTTTCAGTTAAGTGCTTGTTCAAATCTTTAGTCTATTTTTATTTTGTAAAATTCACCTTACTTATTTATTTTTTCTGAGACAGGGTCTTGCTCTGTTGCCCAGGCTGGAGTGCAGTGGTGCTATCATGGCTCACTGCAACCTCGACCTCCTGGTCTCAAGTGATCCACCTACCTTAGCCTCCCGAGTAGCTGCGACCACATGCACAAGCCACCATGGCTACTTTTGCATTTTTTGTAGAGACGGGGTTTCACCATGTTGCCCAGGCTGGTCTCAAACTCCTAAGCTCAAGCAATTCGCCTGCATTGGCATCCCAAAGTGTTGGGATTACATGTGTGAGCCACTTCCCCTGGCCGAGCCTATTTTTAAATTGTCATTTTCTGCCAAAAAAAAGGAGAGAGAGAGAGAGAGCACACTAAGATTTTGACTGGGATTGTGTTGAATCAACACATCAGTTTGGGGTAAAAGTGACAAATTTTAACAAAATTGAGTCTGAGTCTTAAACACAGTACCTCTATATTTTAAAATATTGTCTTCTTTAATGTCTCAGTAATATTTTGTAGTTTTCAGTGTGCAAGTAAAGTCTTACATGTGTCAGATTTCTTCTTCAGTATTTAATAATTTTTGATGCTATTGAAATTGTGCTGTTATTTTAAATTTCAATTTCCAATTGCTTATTGCTAGTACTTAGAAATACTATTTTTTCTATGTTAATCTTGCATCTTGAAACCTTGCAAAGCTTACTTATCAGTTCTAGTAACTATTTTGTAGAATCCATCAGATTTTCTACATAACAATCATGTTGTCTGCAAATAAATTCTTTTTTTTTTTTTCAAATCTGGGTGCATTTAATTTCTTTTTCTTATTGCACTGGTTACAAACTCCAGTACAATGTTGCACAGAGGGGTGAGAACAGACACCCTTGCCTTGTTCCTGAAAGTAGGGGGGAATGCATTAGTATTTCACTATTAATTATGATATTAGCTATAGTTTTTTATAGATGCTCTTTATCCAGTTGAGAAAATGCCCTTTATTCCCTAGTCCTAGTTAATTACTTTTAAATAATTCCATGAAATCCATGAAATAAACACCCATGAATAATTTCATTTAGATCACTGGCTCAACTACCTATATACTACCTATATGTATATATTTCTGTGTCTCCTCCTCTGGGCCCTTCTCTCTCGAGCTACAGATCCCATTTTTACTGGACTTCTCTGGTTGTTTTGCAGACACTTCAAATTTAATATAACAAACTCCCTTTGGTCATTTCTTATCCCATAAAGACAAAACTAAATCTATAAACCTGCTCCTTATTTTTCCATCTGGCTTTTCATCTGTATTTCTCATTTTTTATTTCACTAGTGGCAAAACCTAAAATCACCTATGTCAGAAATCTAAATGCTAGTTTCCATGACTCCTCCTTCTATCTCTTACAAACAGCTACTGAGTTCTATAAAATACACTTCTAAATTTCTCTCAGACCTAGCCCATTCTCAGTATGGGGTAGTAAAAAGAATAAGGCTTTAGGATTAACCAGATCTAAGTTCAAGTACCTATGAACTATAAACCTTTGGATAAATTACCTAACCTCAGCTGGTTTTTCCATATGTGAAACAAGAATGGTATCTCTATTATAATATTGTTAAAATTTAAATGGGAGTAATATATCTATCACAGTGTCTGTCACATTATGTTTAATAAACTTTAATTACCATTCCCTCTTACCCGTTCCCATTGTTTATTGAGGTCATTATTATTTACTGTTTGGGACATTGCAATAGCCTCTTCAACAAATCAAATTGATTCCACTTTCCACACTGTAGTCGGAAGGGATATTTCTAAAAGTCAAATCTCAACATTTGCTTCTCTGCCTAAAGTTCTCTATTGTCCCCAGCCTGACCTCCTACTACTCTCCAGGGTTACTCATAAAAAGTATTTGCTAGTCTCTGGTACGGGATTGCCCATTTGTTCCTTTTTGTCTTTACATTCTTTTGTTTACAATTTCCTTCTTGATCTCACAGGTGAATCTTTTCTTCAGCCTCAGCTTCCAGGTTCTCTCCTCTGAGAAACTATCCTAAATCATCCAGGTGGTAAGGCATGTTCTTTCAGGTCAACAATTATTTGACTGTTTCTTATGTATCTGCCAGACATTAACTGTGTATGCTAGAAATTGAACTGTGAAGACAGCGTTTCCTGCCCTCATAAAGTATATAGAGAGGGAGACTAACATTTTAGACAATTATTTAGTCAGTTTTATTGAATGCTATAAAGATGTAGTGTTATGATTATAATGTATGCATACATTATATGCATACTATGTTACAGATGTGTAACAGTCTTGGGAGAGTAGCAGAGGCTACTCTCCAAGCTTCCCTTGAAGACACTGAAATTTGATGGATGGTCCCATTATAACCTTTAGAATTATCTTTAGAATTCTCTATTAAAAGTACCTGGGCAAATACTTTTGAATTGCTGCTGTGAAAAAATGATTTTGACTAGCTAATACGTTACATACCACAATTCTCAAAAGATCCTTTTGACCGTCTTAAGACTGATCTACAATCTTTGGGCAGACTGAAGTCCCCGATTTAAATTTATGTATAACAGGTAGTATGTACAGGATCTTTTATTCCTAGCAATAACCTGGCCAGTATTATCCCTATTTTATAGATAAGGAAGTTGAGAGTCAACTATTCCAAAGTCCCACTATCCAGCAGTTAAGTCAGTGATCCCAACCCAGGGGTTTCAGGACGCCAAGCTCTCTTTCCACCACGCACGTGTCTACTTCTGTATCTTATTTCCACAATCTTCTACTTTTTAGTTGCTAGTAGGTGCCCCACGAAAAAATACACGTGAAAGCCTAACGCTAAAAGTACCATTTTTACTATCACCCTCACCAACACACGCTACGACTTCCTCCCATTAGGAATGAGAGGCCTTCCACATCTGGTTTCAAGCTTGCACGAAAAATAGTTAATTCCAAGCTGTGCTTTTAAACCCCATTACACCCTGTTTTGTACTCAATGCCACTAATTTCCCACAACGACGTCAGGGGGAAAAAAAAAAACATCTTTTGACAACATTAGTCTTCTAAGTCCGCCTTCCACGTCCCTCTAACGGGCGCAGCTCCCGGTCCGTCTTCTTAGGCACTCAAGGTGTCTAAACTTGGGGCTTCCAGGCGGGAAAACCAAAGGCACGGGGCTCACAGGTCATTGGAGGCCCACAAGACCCCCTTAACCCCTTCCACCCCTTCCCTATTCGCCCATCTCCACGTCGTCCTCTTGGCCTTTGAGTGGAAAATGCGGCAGCCCGAAATCCTCACCAAGCAGAACAATCCGCAAAGCCGCGGAGGGCACAGGACCAGCGAGAAGACGATGGTTCCGGCCGTGAGACTAGAGCGGCGGCGACGCTCGGCGTACGCGCTGTCGTCACTTCGCAGCGGGGCAGCACCGGCTCCTCCCACGACGCTGCGGGTCCGGTTTCCGGCGGGAGAGCGGGCTGCCATACCCGGGAAAGGGTCCCGCTTGTGCTAGGGACTTGTGGGCTGTCTGCACTGGCCACTGCGGGGTGCCCGCCAGAATGCCCCACTTGGAAAACGTGGTGCTTTGTCGCGAGTCTCAAGTGTCCACCTTGCAGTCCTTGTTTGGAGAGGTATTGTAGTTAAACTGTCTTCCAGATCCTGGAGGCAGACGTTTCGGTAGTCTTACGACCTGTTCCAATTTTTTTTTTTTTCGTGTTTGGATTGAGGGCCAAAAGGCCGTTTTTACGTTAAATAGGGGTGTTGTGGTTCTGTACTGCACCTTCACCCACAGTCTCTTCCGATTATTGAAGAGGAGACTGTCTAAGAAGGACCGGCCTGCACTACAGAACGTTGCCTAAGACGTGTTTGACACACGCCACACTTTTGAGAAGTTTGCCCACATTAGCTCCTAGAAGTTGCTTATCTTACCCCAGCCCAATGACATTTATGTAACAGATGTGTTTGCAGAGTGTTGTTTATTCAAATATAAGTTCACACGTTTCTGTGCGGTAGTTGGAGTGAGTCAAGTGTAGAGAGGTGGTTGCTTTCAAGGCCACTAAGGGCAAAGCAGTGCTTCAGGTTTAAAAATTGACTGGCTTTTCCAGAATTGTAACAGTCCCGAAGAGGTCTAGTGTAAACTTTTCTCCTTAACTGACAGTTCACAGGATGCCCTAGAGAAGAGTTTGTCTTCTCTGGATGAACATAGTTACATAGGGAGTCCTTTCAATAGACAGAGGGTAGCATTCACCAATTCAAAATTTAACCTATTTTTGACTATTTTCTGGTGGTCTTTGATGTACTTTTTGATTCAGACTCATTAATCAGAATTGGAATTAATCAAACTTGGATCTTACCTGTGAAGAAAGTGAATGAGAATATAGGGTCATACTATATCCCCATCTTCTGGTTTGCTTTTTTAACTACAGTCATGTGTTGCTGTCACTTAATGAGGGGGATACGTCCTGAGAAATGCATCGTTAGGCAATTTAATCCCTGTGAATATCATAAAGTGTATTTACACAAACCTAGATGGTGTAGCCTGCTATACACCTAGGCTGTATGGTGTAGCCTATTCCTCCTACGCTATAAACCTCTACAGCGGTGCAACTCTACTGAATACCGTAGGCAGTTGTGACACAGTGATGTCTGCATCTAAACGTATCTAAACATAGAAAAGGTACAGCAAAAATAGGGTATTATAATCTTATGAGACCACTGTTGTATATGTGGTCCATCTTTGAACACGTGACAGTACTTTCATCCAACTAGAAATACTGCATGGCAGTTTGAGGTGGCCTGTGAAGCATTAGTGGAAAAGTACTCCCCTTGTCTAAAGGGGCGCATTATTTAGGGAAGTTAGAGGTCAACAACTGCATCTTCAATTAATTTTCTATTTATAATGCTTTCAATTATATTATTACTGGAGCATTTTCTTGATTATGTTCTCTGCATTTCATCTCTGGAACGCAGATCACTCCAACCAGAAATGCTCCTGCTGAAAAAGAACAATTGGCAAATAGGGATGAGTAGTATTGACTTAGTGGTGGATCACAGAAGGGTTTTCACTTTTGCTCTTAATGAAAATTATGTTTAACAATATTTTATTATCAGTTCTGCAAGGTGCTGTGCATGTGGGAAATACAAAGAACTAATAGGAAAGAAATATAAAAAATTGGTTCATGTTTTTAAGAAGACTCATTTATTTGTTCAATAAATAAATATTTACTGAGCACCTTTTCTGTGGCAGGCACTAGCTTATTGCAGTTTACGTTAGCGAGATTTATAAAGGTGAAAGGTTAAATAACAGTGGAACAGTTCAATATAATTCTAGGTCACAATAAGAAAGATGTTATAAGGTATTATTAGGCAACAACAACATGTAATGGATAGCAGAGATACTCAGCAACATGCATGTAATTCTTGAGACAGAATTTTTTGCTTTTGTTTTTTGAGACAGAGTTTGGCTCTCTTTCCCAGGCTGGAGTGGCATGATCTTGGCTCACTGCAGCCTCTGCCTCCCAGGCTCAAGCAATCCTCCCACCTCAGCCTCCGAGTAGCTGGAACCACAGGTGTGTGCCACCAAGCCTGGCTATTTTTGTATTTTTCATAGAGATGGGGTTTCACTGTTTCCCAGGCGAACTCCTAAACTCAAGTGATCTGCCTGCCTTGCCCTCCCAAAGTGTAGGGATCACAGGCGTGAGCCACCGCATCCTGCTGAGACAGAATTTTTGAGCCAGTTAATTTATATGATTGTTACATACAAACTTTAGAAAAGGGTTCATGTATTACATTACCTATTCATTTCCAGTAGATTTTTAGTTTATTTTTAGCAGTTGAGCTGCTTTTGCCATAGCTGTATGCCATTTAGAGTCTTTTTCCTGTGTAAATCTGAGTTCCTGATTTGTCTTGTAAAAGGAAATGTTTAACTTAGTGACTAGAATGTAATAAATGTTTGTGACTGTTGCTGTAATCGATGATAATTGAGACTCAACTTCCTCATGGAAATTGCATAATCCCATTTTCTTATAATTATTTAAAAAAAAAAATGTATTATTGAAAAATAGGCCGGGCGCAGTGGCTCACACCTGTAATCCCAGCACTTTGGGAGGCCAAGGCAGGTGGATCACCAGGTCAGGAGTTCAAGACCAGCCTGACCAAAATGGTGAAACCCCATTGTAACTAAAAATACAAAAATTAGCTGGGCCTGGTAGCATGCACCTGTAATCCAGCTACTCAGGAGGTTGAGGCAGGAGAATCACTTGAACCCAGGAGGCAGAGATTGAAGTGAGCCGAGATCGCACCATTGCACTCCAGCCTGGATGACAGAGTGAGAATCCATCTCAAAAAAAAAAAAAAAAATAGTATTATTTTTAAAAATCCAGTTTTCCTGTAATTATTTTTAAAATGTAATTCAGTTTTCCTATAATTATTTTAAAAATGTGATCCAATTTTCCTATAATTATTTAAAAATGTAGACTGTAATTTCCTCCAAAGTAGATAATGTCTTTTACTGATATTTGTACTTTTCAGTACCCCTTGGTTTTCAGCATTTAGTAGGTATCTAATGAAAGTGTTCATTTAAGTAATGAAGTATAAGTATTTGTAGTATTAACTAGACCAGAGAGACCATTGACAATGTTTACTTTTATCTAGCTGCTAACTTAATGTACTGCAGAAAGATCTTGCATGTATGTATTTTAAAATAAATGCTATGCCAGATTTTATTAGTGTTTTATGTGATCTAATGTATGCATTTGTGCCAGCATTAGTGAGTGTGCATAGTTCAGAAGTAGTCTGTAAGTTTTCCTAAGAATGAGGACCCTTGAAATCCCTTTTAATCTTTTGATTATATGTACTTAACTTCATAGCATTAAAATGTACAGTGAAGTTGTGGCATCCCAGGAGATAAGAGTCTTTAAGAAGGAGTAATGTAAAAATGGAGTATGAACAAAATTATCCTTGAAAAATCTCTTAAATGTCCTATAAAGTTGAAAATACAAGTTTGTATATGTAAACCTGTACAATAATAAAAAATATAAATATATAGCACATAATAAAATATGCCAAATATGTTACAGAAATTTTAATTTCATAACAAAGTGCTTAGAGTTGAATTCAAGTAAGTTCAAAGTGTGTTGATTCATCCACAATATGCTCACTGTTAGGAATTTGGATTGAATATTTTACTTTTCCACATACAACTTTCTCACAAGTTGATAAGTGTTTATTTTCTATTTTGCATGTGCAGCCTCATATTTGTCTTTGTCTTTTCTCCCCTTAGAGACATCATTTTAGCTTTCCATCCATTTTTATTTATGGACATACTGCCAGTGGAAAGACCTATGTAACACAAACGTTGTTGAAAACTTTAGAGGTAAGAATAAAAATATTAAGTATTTCTTTGCCATTCTTTAATGTATAATATTGGTACTGAAGATTGTGAATCTCCACAAATACAAAATTGAACATACCACCTTTACATTGCTCTTCTTCCCATATTATCTTTCTCCCTGAGTGAGCTACTGTAATTGACACAGTTGTCCAAACTTACACTTTCTTAACTGTTTCCTCATCTTCCCTCATTTAGTAAATCACATCAATAAACTTGATCTGTTGCTTCACATTCTTAAAATCATTTCTCCATCTACCTTTAATCCTAGCCATTGCTGCTAGGATTTACATTTACCATTGTTTTTTTCCACGTATTTCTGTAAGCCTCTTATTTGCAGTCTTCACCCAGCAGCCAGGCCTTGCAAATCTTAAGATCTTCAGGACAGTGTTCAAGTAATTTGCCCAATGTATAAGACCTTTCCTGAGCTGAATTTATCTTTTATAACACAGTGGTTAAGTGGGCTGTAGAGTCTGGCAGACTCATGTTCCTTTTTGGATTCACCAGTTAGTGCTTTCTCCATCTGCAAAGTTGGCTCATAGTGACAACATCTGGGATTAAGAGAATTAATTGTTAGTACATGGAAAGTGCTTTCTGCAGTACATAGTGCGTAGTAAGCACTCAATAAAGCACTATTATTGATGAGTATTGCCATACTCCCTTTCATATCCTACACCAGAGATGGGCAGTCTTTTTCTTAAGGGGCAGATAAGTAACATTTTGTACTTGTGGACCATGTAGTTTCTGTCTCACCTACTTGACTCTGCTGTATTGTGAAAGCACCCATGGGCATTCCCTGTGTGAATGGGCATGACTGTGTTTCAAAGCAACAGTATGTACAAAAACAGGTGGCTAGCCCACAGGCTTTGGCTTGCTAACCCTGTCCTCTAGCTCTAAGGATGTGTGTTTAGGATGGCATACTGAACTGTGTGTAGTTCCTGCTGTCTTACTTTCAAGCCATGGCACATGCTGCTCCCCTACTTGGAATGGGTTTCCTGTACTCGCTCTTCCTGTTACTTGGCAGATGCTTATTTATTTTGCCAGGTTTTCTTCTACTTATATTCTACAAAGTCTTTCCTGATCCTCTAGGCTGTATCAGATGCTCCCCTGTTTTGCAGCCTTAGCACCTTGTGCTTAATTCTGTCGTAATATTTAGCCCTCTCAGCTGTGATTTTGTGTTTGTGTTTCCCTGGCTTTAGATTGTGAGTTTCTTGAAATTATCCCCAGCACTAAGCACACTACTTGGCACATATTAACTTGTGGATTTTAGCTTATTAACTTGTGGATTTCAGCTTTTGATCCCAAAGATCAGCTGTGCATTTTAAAAGCACATATGCCTGGGCTGTATACTAGACTTCAGAATCTGAGTGTACAAGGTCTTGGTCCAGGCATTTGTGTTTCAGAACCCGTTGAATGAAGTGCCCCCAAAATATGTGTTGAATAAAAGCAATAAAACCCAATAAGGAAGTTTTATATTTAAGGGCTGCATTCCATTTTTTTTTTTTTTTTATCACATTGTAGTTTCTGCTGCTACTTAATCAGTGTAATATATGATTATTGTTACTACTGATACAGGGACTCAGACAGGCACTTAGAATATGCTGCCTTTAAAGGTCATGGATAGCACAAATGCTGTAAGCGAGACACTATTCATAACAGAGATATTGTGGACTGTTGTTCGTAAAGAAGTGAGAGTGAAGTGAGTTAGCAAATGCTGGTGAAACTGTCCCCAAGTAAGTTTAATGTGGCTTTAGTGACACTGTTATTCAGAGAACGAAAAGCTTCCTTATTGGATACAAGTTTATAAAATCACTAAAAATAGTTACAAATTCCATTATTTGTGCCAAATGCCACAAGTTATCTTCCTCAGAATGAATCTGCTTTTGTGATCTTATTTTGAGGATAGACTGTATTTGTGAGCAAATCTCGTTTGTGTCCTTATTACTTCTGGAGTTACCTCATTTTGATATTTTGATAGTTTTTTAAATGAAGGGCTAGTTGTTTGTTTGTTTGTTTTTTGAAATGGAGTCTTGCTCTATTGCCCAGGTTGGAGTACAGTGGTATGATCACAGCTCATTGCAGCTGTGAATTCCTGGGCTCAAGTGATACTCCCACCTCAGCCTCCCAAGTAGCTGGGACTTACAGACGTACTCCACCAGGCCTGTCTAATTTTTTTTATTTTTTAAAGACGGAGTCTCACTGTGTTTCCTAGGCTGATCTTGAACTCCTGGGGTCAAGTGATCCTCCCACCCCTCCTAAAGCACTGAGATTACAGGCAGGAGCAGTAAAGAGCTAGTGCTTACAGTCCTTATAGGAGGATTGCTATGGTTTCTAACTCTTAAAATTCTTTGTTTTTCTTTTGACTTAAGTTTATTCAAGGATATTATATTAAAGTTACAAGTGTGAAATTCCTATTAAGAATTTTAACATTCAAATATACTTAGATTTCTTTTTTTTTTTAAAAACGAAGACAGAGTCTCGCTATATTGCCCAGGCTGGTCTTGAACTCTTGACCTCAAAGTCTTGGCATTACAGACATGAGCCACCATTCCTGGCTGATTTCTTTATAAGAATTCTTTATAGGAAAGTACAAGTTTGCTTTGAATTTCCATAAGAAAGAAATGGCAAGCTGAAAGAAATAATTGAAGAGAGTTTAATGAAGGGACAATTTTATAAAGGTTGAGGACATTTTATGGGAATCACTAAGGGATGATGGTACACCAGGGCCTTTACCACCTCTAGGCCTGAAGGGACCATAGAAAGGAGCTGTTACTGGAACCCTACAAGAGGTGTAACCTTAGAAGAGGGGCTGTCCAACTTGATCTTTGGTAAAAGAGTATCCACTGCCAAGCTAGGGCCGCTGAGGGGTCATGGTGGGAGTCAAGGAAATCAATATCCAAACTTCTGTCCCACCATTCTTCCTTAGTCTCCTGCTGGTTCTTTCTATTGGCTTCTCCATCCACAGCCAGAAAGTAAGAGAGTCTGGGTGATGTAATTCTGTAGCTGTCAGGCTCTTGGGGCATGGGGTGGGTTTGGTGGGATGTAGATTTAGAAAGGCAAATGGAGAATATCAGCAGAGCCATTATTGTGTCTGTGTGTTTTCTTCTTTTCTTACAGTGTTTTGGTTTTCGTTTTCAGCTCCCACATGTCTTTGTGAATTGCGTTGAATGCTTTACCTTGAGGCTGCTTTTGGAACAAATTTTAAACAAATTGAATCATCTTAGTTCTTCAGAGGATGGATGTTCTACTGAAATAACCTGTGAAACATTTAATGATTTTGTTCGCTTGTTTAAACAAGTAACCGCAGCTGAAAATCTCAAGGATCAGACTGTATATATTGTAAGTAATTTCATTTGATTAGATCATCTCTTATGTTGAAAACCAATAATTTATTAGATCAATTTTCATGTATTTGTTTTGAGTCTCATTATGTACAGTGCTCTGTGCCAGATGCTTTTGTATACAGAAATGTGTTAAACATATTCCTTATCCAAGGGAAGCTTCATTTAATAGAAAAGGTATGACACATACATGTGACTACATGTAGGATGTGATAAGTGATTATCACCAGATGCAAAGTATTGACTGTGTGTATCCAATACAGCTTCATGAGGTATTAGCATTTGAGACAGACCTAAATGAATCAGAGTATTCTAGGAAAAAATTGAAGTAGAGGATTTTCAGATAGAATTATGTAAGTAAAGGCATGCAGCTGAAAATGGAGACCAGAGAATACCAAATAGTCTAGTTTTAGTGGGTTATAAAGTATGAAGGGAGAAAAAGAAGACTGGAAGATAGGTTGGGGCAGATCATGGAAGGTCTAGAAAACTATACTAAAGCACTTTATTTAATTTCTTAGGGAGTGGATAGAAGGTAGTGAAGACTTTAGAGCAACAAATATGCCTGATTACTCTGAAGACATGTTAAAATGATCATCTTTGGAATTGGATAAGAACTAACCAAGACTGGATAGTTTATAAAGGAAAGAGGTTAATTGGCTTACAGTTCAGGATGGCTGGGGAGGCTTCAGGAAACTTATAATCAGTAGAAAGCAAAGGGGAAGCAAGGCATCTGCTTCACAAAGTGGGAGGAAGGAGAAGCTCCTCATAAAATCGTCAGATCTCATGATAACTCACTATCACAAGAACAGTATGGGGGAACCACCCCCATGATTCATTTACCTCCACCTGGTCTCTCCCTTGACACATGGGGATTATGGAGATTACAATTTAAGATGAGATTTGGATGGGGACACAAAGCCTGACCACACCATTCCACCCTTGGCCCCTCCCAAATCTCATGTCGGTTTCACATTTCAAAGCCAGTTGTGCTGGGTAATTTATAAAGAAAAGACATTTATTTCTCACAGTTCTGGAGGTTAGGAAGTCAAAGGTTGAGGTCCCCGCATCTGGCAAGGTCCTTCTTACTGCCTCCTCTCATGATGAATGGTAGAAGTACAAGAGAGGACAAGGGTGAGAGCAAGAGGTGGCAGAAGTCCCTTTTATAACAAAGCCATTCTTTCAATAAGCCATTCCTTTGATAACAATATTAATTCATTGATGAGGACAGAGCCCTCATGACTTAATCGTCTTTTCTGCAGCTCCACTTCCCAATACTGCCGCACTGGGGATTAAGTTCCAACACATGAACTTTGGGGGACATAATCAAATCATGTCATTTTGTAAAGGCTTTGTAAATGCATTTCTTCTTCTTCTTCTTTTTTTTTTTAAAAGGTTCTAGATAAAGCAGAGTATCTAAGAGATATGGAAGCAAATCTTTTGCCTGGATTTCTTAGATTACAAGAATTGGTAAGTAATGTGAGAGAGTGCTTTTTCCCCACAACTTAATCAATGGATTGTGTTGTAAAATTTTTTCATTTTGCTATTTGATAGGTGAGAATTAGTATTTTAATATAATTGTAGTTTGCATTTCTCTTATCAGTAAAGCTGAGTATTTTTTTCATAGTAAAATCAGTTAGTGATTTCATAGCATTTATTCTTCAATTATTTTAGCTTTTCCTCTCTAATTATGAAGCTACTGCTTTCTATTAAAAGTTTTTAGATGTTGCTAGAATAAATAGCAGAGGGCCAGACTTTAAAATCTCAAGGATTTTAAAATTTTCTTTGCATTTCAAAATAAGGATAATCTAAAATAAGAATAGCATGGCTATTCTGGCTCATCTGGATTTCTATCTTATAACCTCAGTGTCAGAGTTTACTTTTGTATTTCAGTTTACTCTTGTGTTGGCTTCACAAAGTACAGTAAGTCCTCACTTAACATCTCAGGAGATTCTTGGAAACTGCAACTTTAAGTGAAACAGCCTACAACAGGTTCTTCCTTACCTTCAGCATCATTTCATTATAACATTGTTGAGGAAAAAAATTGGTTTCATTATATGTTGCGCTTAAAGTCAGTTTCTCAGAACCTATCAACAACATTAAGTGAAGGGTTACTAATTAATACTACTGTGATTGTCATGGCCCAATAAGAAAAGAACAGGGGTGGACTTACTAGGTATTTGTGTCAGGTGAAAGCCAAATAATATCACAGATAAAGCAGGGTTTTGTAATCGTTTGAATAAGGAAGATTGGTGAGAGAAATAGCTGTGGTTATTTCCAGGTGGAACCATATTCACTGTATTCACAAAGGGAATAAAAGTTTAGTTTGAGCGAAACAGTACTGTTCAATATATTCAGTTAATATTAATTTAAATTTTATTGGTTTTATGGTTTGTATTTATAAATTTATTTTGGTTTTATAATTTTATAAGTGCTTTGAGCATAAGCAGTTTATACCTACCTAATTTTATGTTTGCATGTGTTAAAGTATTAAGTAATATTATAATAAAGTAAATACTTGGGAAGAAGTGCTTAAAGCATATCTGCCTTTCAAAGTTAAATACATTATTCAAATTTGAGAATCTGCTAGAAGTTTAGAGAGGCCACTGAAATCATTGTGTGCCCAAGGCCGACTCCTGAAGTTTACTTTTAGTAGTAGTTGAGGGAGGGGAGGTATAGAGAGGACAGGATAATAAGCGTAGCTATTGGTGGCCTATTCTGGAAGTTAACCTCACACAGTCTTGCTTTTCTTGGTTTCATTAACTCTTGACATTTTATTACTGAGACTCAAGACCTGTCTTCTTTGAGTAGATGTCTCCTATTTCCTTTCCTTTTATTTGTTTGTTTCATTTGCATTTGCGGGTTTTTGCATATGCATCCACTATTTCCTATTGCTTTGCTCTAGAACTCACCATCTGGTATCCAGAGTGCATTATTGTCTTCTTGCCTTTCCAGTATAGATCACCCTATTTTTTCCTCCTTATGCCTAGTAATGGTGGTCATACATCCCTTTACAACAATTAGGACTTTTGACCATTTTTTAGTTTCAATTATAGAAATTGTTTGAAGAAAATTAAAAGATTTAGAGTAATCTCAGCTGAACTGGGAAAGAGAATTGTTTTGACATTTCTGGAACCATGCTTGATTTTTAAAAATGTATTTCATTTAAGAGAAATCTGGCAAAAGCATTTCTCATTTTTTAATATTAAGTAATTAAGTAAAAGGAAGTTTAAAATATGATGAATATCATATATACTGAAAGTACTTATCAGATGAATAGATAAGAACATTACCAACTTAAAATCTTTCAGCTCGATAAATATCCTCTTCTTTTTAGCCTCTCAATGTATTTAAACTGATTTTATAAAATGCTTTTAGGTAATCATATTTTTATAGCAAAAACAATTCAGTAATTTGTTATCAGGATTGTGATTAGGGCATGTTATTTTACTGCTATAGAAATAAATTCAGAGATTCTTAAAAGAATCAGACCCAATGTGATGGCTAATGCCTGTAATTTCAGCACTTTGAGAGGCTGAGTCAGGAAGATCACTTGAGTCCAGGAGTTCAAGACCAGCCTGGGTAACTTACAGAGACCCTGTCTTTACAAAAGATACAGAATTTAGTCAGGTGTGGTGGCACATGTCCCAGCTACTTGAGAGATATAGGAGGATCACTTATGCCTGGGAGGTTGAGGCCACAGTGAGCTGTGATTATGCCACTGCACTCCAGCTTGGGTGTGTGACAGTTTGCAAATGGATGAACTCCTTGATTAGGTTTTCTAAATAAGGTTTATTAATATGCAAATAATTTGTTATAGGTTAGAACTTTGGGGGATTTATTTGAAAGAAAAATCCAAATGGAAATACTGCTCTGATTAAGATTTTTAAATACAAAGTTACTTTTATTTCTTTCTTTTACAGGCTGACAGAAATGTGACTGTTCTCTTTCTCAGTGAAATTGTTTGGGAAAAGTTTCGTCCAAATACTGGATGCTTTGAGCCATTTGTCTTGTATTTCCCTGATTACAGCATAGGTAAACCTTAAAACATTGTTTTGGCAAATGTTATGCAGGAGAATAGTTTTTGTTGTTTGAAAGATCAAACTAGCATATTCAAATGGAAATACTTATGATAAAGTATTTGAATATCAAATGGGAATATCAAAGTATTAAACTGTTAAGGTTTGCTGCCAATCTCAAATAAGATGTTTGTATTTCTGCACTTAAAAAATTTACTTTGGAACTGTGAGAGATTATTGTATAATTACTAATTTTTTTTGGATGAGCAACTCTCATATTTGTGCTAATGTATCTTCATTTTTTTAGTCAGTACATTAAGATGTATATGTAGTGTAATTATGACATCTGTACAAATAATCAGACTAGACTTGTAAAGCATATTAAGAGTGTGTTGAAATCTTCATTTACTGTATACTTGGGTTAAATACCATGTTGTGCTTACATCTTTTGATTTTATAAATCTCATTTTCTTTACTGTAACTCATATGGTACCAATTACTAGCCCTTGTGTTTCTTATTTTCTTGGGGACTGCATTTAATCTTAAATTTCATAGATCCTGATGCTTTTGGTCTTTGAAAGAACACAGTAGCTTTTTGTGTTGCTGAATAGCTTTGTGGATTAATACTGGGCTGTCATACAGAGATGATACTTGGGATTCAGAGATTATAACTCTGAAGTATAAGATGGTTAGCAGTCTATAAAAAAAATAGCATTCCATGACCTTGGCCTCATTAACACTATCCCTCTGAACTAATCAGCTGTAAACATACATTAAGATTAACACATTTTTGTCTGTTTTCACCAGAACAGCAGTCAAATAACACCTTCTGTCTTAGCTAATTAGCTGAATTTTTTTTTTTAACAGCAACCCAAAATAGATGGAGTCCTTAATGTCATTGATTTCTCATCCATAAAAATCCCAAAATAAAGGTTAGGAGGAAAAGTGATAAAGGATTTTATTTAAAAAAAAAAAAAAAATCTGTACCTATGTCAGCACTGTTCTTCATAGTTCAGTTTTTTTATGACCCATTTTAAGTACTGAAAAACTATTTAGAATTTAAGAAAATTATTAAAAAAGTAGATTTTATACATTTCAGTCAAGTTGAATTAATAATGTAAGTAATTATAGAATTAAATTTTAAAAATTCTATAATTTAAATTTATAGATTTAAAAATTTAAAAAGTAAAGATACAAAGCAGCATAGATAGAGGGTTTGAGGACAAAAGTAAATAAAATGGTCTTAGTAATTTTAGTGAGTATAGGATAATAGATTTTTGCAAAGTGTATAATAATGGAGCCAAGTTAAATTCTGATTATGAAATTTTAGGGCCTTTTTCATATTCAGTTTTGTTTTTTTTTTTAAAGCAGAAACACTGTAGTCAGACAAAAAGCCATTCAGAAGGGGAATGTTAATAGATAAGTTGAAATTATGGTTAAGTGTGGAACCAGGGCAAAGAGATTATCTAAGTGGTTAGTGTTATCCCGTCACAATAACTTGAAACATGTCATTTTCAGGAATATGGTGTCTGATTTTAAGGACAGCTGTCCTCTTAGCAGTTATGGCTAGGAGCTCAGTTTGGAAGTCTTGTTTTCTGGTCTTTACCTCATGCAGACTACTCATCTTTTGGTGATGGATATTTTTTCTTTAGAGAGATTATAATGTACTTGATTAGGTTTTTGGTTTAGTTATTGTGTCAGTTTGGATAGATTAAGTTATGTTCTGATAACAATCTGAAATTTCAGTGATTACAGTTTCCTACTTAAGAACATTTGTACTGCTATTGTCTTACATTTTACTTCTATATTTATTATAAACCGTGTAATACTATATTATAAACCTCAACTATTATTATAAACCTCAGATGTTAAATATTATTATTTTGGCTTTAAAAAAGTAACAGGACAAGAAAGAAAATAACTTTTATTGTTTATCCTGCTGGGGATTTGTTGAGTTCTTAAGTCTGTGGGTGTATAGTTTCATCAGCTTTGGAAAAATTTCGGACAGTATTTCTTCAAATATTTTGTCTGCCCCCTCACCTTTTCTTCTCTATCTTTTTTGTGTGGAATTGCATTGTAATTGCATAATTGCATTATGTTAGAGCACTTTATATTGTCCTACTGAAAGTCTGTTTATTTAAATTTGAAATCTTTGTGTGTGTGTGTGTGTGTGTGTGTGTGTGTGTGTGTGTGTTTTATTTGGGTTTTTTTTTTGTTTGTATGTCTTTCAGTTCACTGGCTTTTTTTTTTTTTTTTTTTTTTTTTTTTTACAAGTGTCTAGTGGGCAGCCAATCTCATCCTGTAGAATTTTCATTACTGATCTCATTATGCTTTTGTTTTCTTTTATATCCTTGAGCATATGAGCATATTTATAACAGTTGTTTTAATTTTCTTGTTTACTAATTCAATTACCTCTTTTGTTTCGGGTTTATTCCCTCCAACTAATTTTTCTCCATCTTGGGTATCCGTTATGCTTCTTCATGGGTCTAGTAGTTTTTTATTGAATTATAGACATTGTGTTTTTTATTGTGTTTTGGACTTTTTTCTCATTAGCATATTTAATTACTTACAGATACAGTTGACTCTTTTAAGGCTATTTTTAAACTTTTTTTGGAGAGATGATCCAGAGTAGCCATTATACCAGGGCTAATTTTAGCCCTACTTCTAAGACATAGTTTTTTTGGAATCTCTACTGAATGCCCTGTGTGTTTAGCATGGTCTCTGCCTTCTGACTAGTGGCAACATGAAAAATTCACAGCCCTGTGTGAATTCTGGGAATTGACATATAGCTCTCCAATGATTGTTTTTTCCCTAAAAATTGTTCTTGCATGGCTTTATAGGGTTTTACCCTATGCATACACAGATTGGTATTAAGCTAAGACTTGAGGGGAACCCCTGTACAGATTTCTGGAGCTCTTTTTTGGCACAGCTTCCTCGCCTCAGATACGCTGCCCTGCAAATTATAGCTATCTCAGCTCTCTCGGCTCTGGTCTCTGTCTCCTCAACTCATTAGGATAAATGAGCTCCTTTTGGAAGTCTCCTTGCACCACAGTCTTAAAATTACCTCTTGTTAGAAAGCTTGGCTGATGGTAGGACTCACCTTATTTGTTTACCTTTTCTAAGGTATTATGGTCCGTTACTTGTTGTTTGATATTTGAAAATAGTTGTTTTCTATAGTATGTCCAGTTTTTAATTGATTATTAGAGGAGGGTATTTCTGGATGCTCCTACTCCCTCACAACTGGAAGCAGAAGTCTCTCTGCAACTTAGGAGGGGCTTTTCTTTGCACATTAGCCTATACTTGGATAGTGAAATTTTAAGACCCAAGGAGACCAACCAGTAGGTTTCTCCTACCCTTTATTTACTACCCAATGATATGCTGTTTTCAGCTTTCTGATATAGATGGGATTTTTTTTTTCATGAATTTGAATAGTCCTAGACTGTTAGAGCTGGCATGACTTGCTTATTATAGAGTTATACTCTGAGAGTTTTGTCTGCAGTCTATAAACAAGTTGCTAGGTTACTTTTACAGCAACACAGTGAGGATTCCGATTCTTATAAGACTTTCATCAGGGCTGAAATGGGCCAGTGATAACGTCTAATCAACTTTCTTATGGGATACAGAGGGCTACGTATAAGGAATACCCAGATAGAGATGTTCAGGGGGTACTTAGAAATGCAATCTGAGCTGGAGACTCAACTGTTTTCCAAATTTTCTTACCCATTCATTTATAGAAGTTTTTTCTTGTTTTTTGTTGTTGTTGTTGTTGTTGTTTTTCCCCGCTTGTTCATCTCTGTGATCATTTATCTCTTCCCTCCATCTCTCTTTTCTTACATCCATCCAGTTATTTGGTAGGTTTTATAGGTAGATATCTTAGTTTCTAAGTTTTTTGGTACCTTTTAGAAATTTTCAATATATTAGCTATTTCCCCATGCCTAGTTAAAAAAACTTAGTGACATTATATTTAAAGTTTGCTGTTAGAATGTAAAAGTGCATAGACTCCAAAGGGAAGTTTTTCTTTTATTTTTATTTTTTCAGCAGTTTTGAAACAAAAAAGCAAATTCAGTAACAGTGTCTCATCTAGTATCCATTCGGGATAATATTCTAAGTATAAAACTAGGCTTTGAAGTTTTTTTTGTCAACTTCTGTGTTTAAATATTCCTTAATAGAGCTATTTCTAAACTTCTGTTTATAAATTTTCAGATCGTTTATATATATTTTTTGATCTTGTACCTGTGTCTAATTGATTCGCAGGCGCAAAAGTGATTAAAATCAATGGTAAATGGCCTTACTAAAAATACTAACTTACTGGGAACCTTAAACAAAAGGAAATTCACATGATTAGAATATCCTGGAAGAGTTTTTACCTGTAATTTTTGCAAAAAACTTGAGCCTTCTGAACTAGGTTTAAAGTTCTAGTCATACGCAAAGAGCTCTTAACTAAGAAGTCTAAGGAGACCATTGCACCAAGAAGTCAGAGGATCTTACGATAAGGAATGAATGTCTAATTGATTCCTGTATTATGACTGGGAAATTTTGAATAATATATGGTTGTTTCTCTTTAAATTTTACTGTGTTTCTAAAATATGATTATTTCCAGCAGGCTTAAGTATAAGGTTAGGACTCTTAACGTGATATTTTATAAAGAGCCTGAGATATAACAGAAGTAGAGTAAAGATATCAAAGTTGTAGGGAGAAAACATGTTTTATAAAAGGGGGAATAACAAAGTAAGGACTAGGATCAGGTGATGATTATTGTAAAAAAATTAATTATTTTCATTTTACAAAACATGAGCATTTTCTAGTTTGTTGGCAGTTTATGTACTATACCCTTTTTTTTCCTAGTTGATTTACTTAATAGGAAGAAAAACTAGAATCTACAGTATTTTTTCCCTTGTTACTGTTTTGCCAGTCATAAGGTTCTTGAGATTTTCTTTAGCTGTCGTTGTTTTCTATTTGTCTTAATATTTAATAATTTTTTTTTACAGTCAGTTTCAAAATTTCAATTACATTTTCAGAATTATTTTTACTCAAAACACTTCTGACACCAAATGTGTGGGGTATTTTTGTTCACCCAACAACAAATTCTTCAGTTCTCTAGATATCAAGTGGGTGTCCTAAAATTCAATTCACTTCTGACACTAACTACCAGAAGTTAGTGCAGACCTCACAAGTTAAGGACTTAGTCCTATAAGAATATTAGCACTTCAGACACCAGTCTAAGTCCCAGGTTTCTACCTGTACTCCTGAAAACTGGTTATAAATTGGGGTTTCACATGACCCCCTCCTCAGGTTTGAATGAGGTAGATATCTTTGGTTTTTTTTGCTAGAAAAATTTGCTAGAATGGCTCACCAAACTCAAGAAAACAACTTTACTTATTCCGTTTATTGTAAAGGATACAAATGAACAGCCAGATGAATAGATACACAGGATAAGGACCAGTGGGGTCCCAAGCCTAGGAGCTTCTGTCCCTGTGGGGCTGGGGTGTGCTACCCTCTCAGCATGCGGATATATTTACTATCCTGGAAACTCTCAGAACCTCATCATTTAGGATTTTTTATGGAGGTGCCATTATATAGTCATGATTTGATTAAATCGTTGGTCATTGGTCGTGGATTCGATCTTTAGCCCTTCTCCTTTTCCCAAGGACAGGAGGTGGGGCCTTGATATGGTTTGGCTTTGTGTCCCCACCCAGATCTCATCTTGAATTATAATCCCATAATCCCCACATGTCATGGAGGGACCTGGTGGAAGGTAATTGAATCATGGGGGCGGTTCCTCCATGCTGTTCTCAACACGCTGAGTTCTCACGAGCGCTGTTGGTTGTATAAGTGTCTGGCATTTCCCCTGCTGGCACTCATTCTCTCTCCTACTGCACTGTTAAGAGTGCCTTCCACCATGATTATAAGTTTCCTGAGGCCTCCCTAGCCATGCAGAACTGTGAGTCAATTAAACCTCTTTTCTTTATAAATTACCCAGTCATGGGTATTTCTTCACAGCAGTGTATGTGAGAATACAGGCCTCTAATCACTTGGTTGGTTCCTCTGACAACCAGTCCCCATCCTGAAGCTATCTAGGGGCCCACTGTATTAGTCCATTCTCACATTGCTATAAACATACCTGAGACTGGGTAATTTATAAATTTATAAAGAAAAGAGGTTTAATACACTCACAGTCTGTGCACTGTACAGGCTTCTGCTTCTGGGGAGGCCTCAGGAAACTTGCAGTCATGTTGGAAGGTGAAAGGGAAGCAAACACATCTTCACAAAGTCAGCAGGAGAGAGAGCCTGAAGGGGGAATTGCTGCACACTTTGAAACAACCAGATCTCATGAGAACTCTATCTCAAGAACAGCGAGGGGGAAGTCTGCTCCGTGAATCAGTCACCTCCTACCAGGCCCCTCCTCCAACACTGAAAATTTCAAATGAGATATGGGTGGGGACACAGAGCCAAACCATATCACCCATCAAGAAACACCTCATTAGTATAAATCGAGGTATGTTTTAAAAGGGCTTCTTATGAGTAACAAAAGATACTCCTCTTATCCTTCTCATTCAGGAAATTATGAGGGCTTTTAGAAGCTCTGTGCCAGGAACCGGGGTGAAGATCAAATATATATTTTTTATTATATCACAAATCACACTTTTCTATTCTAATCTTGTAATAGTTTTATTATTTCTTGATTATTGCTGGGTTTGGGTTTTTTTTAAATACCTTTGTTATAAAATGCTTGAAGATATGATTAGGGTACTGTGTTAATTATTACAAGTTATTTTGTGTCCTGTGAACAGGCAACCTTCAAAAGATCCTGTCCCATGATCATCCTCCAGAGTATTCAGCTGATTTCTATGCTGCCTACATTAACATTCTTCTTGGAGTTTTCTACACTGTTTGTCGAGATTTGAAAGAGCTCAGACATCTGGTAAATGAATATTTTGCTTGTATATATATATATGTGTGTGTGTGTGTATAAATATATGTGTATATATATCTTTCAATATTTTCCATGTAGAAATGGTGTGAGATAGGTTAGAAACTGAAATTTTATTCTGGAAATTTGCATATGGCCTCTTGAGGCTAACATACCGTAAGAAGGTAGATGTTTGTGGGTTAGTACAAACTTTGCTTGTTCTGATCAGAAAAATATCATTCTCAGATCTTCTCACTCTTCCTTGTTTTTTCTCTAATTACAGAAAATGCAGAACTCCATTAAAATCAAAATGAGGAATAACAGAAAAGAGATGTAAAAATTTGAGCAGTTTTACAACTCTGTTAATATTTTGTAACAGATTTTGTTCAAGTTTTATGTATGCAGTGATTGAGGTCTAGAATCTAGATGGATTTGAGTATGGTCAGAAGCTTTCATTGCAGGTCTTTCATTAACCACTGACCCTGAGCTGGTAATCTTTGTATAGATGGTTCTTTTTAATTTTTTTTTTTAAACAATTAGAATAGCTGTTTATATATCTTAGACAGTTTGGAAAATGTTGATGTTGAATTTTTCTTTGACCTTTTTTGTTTAATTGTGGGGATGGGAAAGGAAGGAGACAAGAATTTCTAGTTTCCCTTTTAGAAATCCTTAATTAATAATTAAGATCTTAGCTCCATTTAACAGAAAATAGTAATATATCTGAGGCTGGAAAACAGTCACTTTCAAAGTAACAGATTCTATGTCTCTTAGCACATTTTCTTCACTTTGTTCTTTTTCTCTTTCTGCCCTGAAAAGTGTTACTTAGTTTCAGTGTGTGTTTGAGACAGAACATAGAAGGCAACTATTTAAAATTACGCTCACATTTAGTATGTTTTTGAAAGTTTCAGATTTCAGGGCTCCTCTGATTTGCATGTAGATTTCAGACATCTTCTCAGTTAGGAAAAAACAAAACTGTTTTTCCAGTTCCAGTTTATCACTGACATTCCTCTAGAGGTTGGATGTCTTGGGATCCCTGGCTTCTGAGGGAAATGGTAACACAAGAGACAGAGAGGAGAGGGTCAGGAAAACGCACCTGGGTGAGATGGACTTAGGAGCAAATAATCCTCCTCTGTCTTTACTGGAAAGTAACTTGCAGTTACCACTGTTTAGCACTCGAATCCTGTGGGAATCTGTGCTGGCAGCCATTTCAAAGTAGATTATAAAGTATAAGAAGAAAAAATTTTGGGAAAATATCTATGGGAAAATAAAATGTAAAGAGAGAAATATATATTTAAATATAGTATTTTTAAAAGTTCTTTGGGTTTCACTGAGGAATGATTTTATTTAGGGTAAGGTTACAGCTTTCTTAAAAATCATATTCATAAATGTGAAGTATGGTTTAAGTCTTATACTACTATTGGTAATAATAAATACAGAAAAGGATCCTTAAACATTAGAGAAAAATAGCACAGTGTTCTTAGTTTTCTCTATATATAGAACACAGAAAAATAAAGTTACTCATTTTCCTTTTTTCTTCAGATATATAGTGTTGTTTGTGTTTGTCTCAAAGTTTGTAAGTGGCATATTTCTTGAAAGTTTATTAAATCGCCTGAAAAATATTCTTTTCAGGGATCTTTTCTAGAAAGATGCTTTATGAACTGATATTTCTGTATTTCTTAGAGGCTAGTTCTATAGGTAGCTTAAGATAGGAGAAAATAAAGTACTACTTTGATACTCATTTAGGTTTGTTTTCTCTGACAAACCTTATGATACTGCCTTTTTAACTGTTATTCATAAATTCTTAAACATATTTTAGTGTTTTAGTGTTTCAACCAAAAAGAAAATCAATACAGTTGCCCCTTAGTATACTTGGGGGATTGGTTCCAGGACCAGTCCCATGTATATCAAAATCTGAGCACACTCAAACCCTGCAATCAACTCTGCAGAACCTGAGTATATAAAAGTTAGCCCTCCATACACATGGGTTTTGCATTCCCTGAATACTATGTTTTTGATCTGTGTTTGTGATCTGCACTTGGTTGAAAAAAAAAATCTGTGGACAAGTGGACCTTCACAGTTCAAACCTATGTTGTTCAAGGGTCAATTGTTTATTTTGATAAGCCAAATTGTGTACCAGTAGCTGTTAACATTATGACACTTTAGTGTTATTAAACTATGCTTAGATCTGAAAATCTAAAATGACGGTAAGGAAGTTTGGCTGAAGCGAATAATGTCTTCTTGATTCTTCTTCTCTACACTTAATATTAACCAAATTTGGAAGATTTTTCTACTTTAAATAATTGTTTTTTATGAAGTAGAATAGGAAGAAATTAATGATTTGGTTCGTAGTTTTCTGTTATCTACTTCTATAGTTACACATTTATATATATCTTTTTTCTATGCCTCATTGAATTATTTTGATATGAAATACTTGGGAACAAACATACATATATATATATATTTTTTTAAATAAATGGAAGCAGTATGTTTTTAACCAGTTTGCTTAAACTACTGTTCAGTAGAATTCCAATGTTGATTCATAGAAAACTAATAAGTAGTTCTAATTAGTTAATTAGTACTCCTCAAACTTTAGAATACATAGAATTTCTAGAGAGATCGTTAAACATAGATTCCTGGATCTCATCCTCAGTGATTCTGATTTGGTAGGCCTGAGATGATGCCAAGAACTTAGATTTATAACAATCTCAGGTAGTGCTGCCAATCCAAATACTTTGAGTCATATGAAACTCGATGATGTTTAATTGATGAGAATGTTCAGACGTTAGAAAATAACAGTTAATTATTTGGGCTTGAGGTTTTTCATTATATGTTTTATGGTTCTGTATGACATAAATATAACCTAAAAGTACAAATAATGCTTTGTTACTGTAGGGAAGTTCATATTTTTACCCTGCAGTTTTGGTAATTTGAATCTATAAAACAAACTAATAATAGATTCATGGGAAAAAAGGCATACAAATTTATTTTTTAATTTTAATTTAATTTTATATTGAGTTCCAGGATACATGTGCAGGACGTGCAGGTTTGTTACATAGGTAAAATGTGTGCCATGGTGGTTTGCTGCACCTATCAACCCCTCACCTAGGTATGAAGTCCTGCATACATTAGCTATTGCATACAAATTTATTAATATGCATATGGGCACAGGAGCCTTACACAAAATATGACACTCAAAAGGTGGGGGGCAGAAAGGGGGGCCAACTGATTCAAATTTTTATACCATCCTGAGGCTACAGAAAGAAAATGGGCTTGGAGCATGGCATAACAGGTTATTGGAGGGAAAGGAGGAAAGACATGGTTAGGGAAGGCACTCTTGTTGTGCAAATGAAACCTCATAGGTAGCAACTTCCAGAAAGAATAGATGGTAGCCTGTGCTAAGTTTCTCTGTCAGACCTTCAAAGGTGTCAGACCCTCAAATCTCTTTCTTGAGAGTTAGTCTTTCCTAGATCCAAGGTGGGAGATGATCAGAGAAAGCCTGCTTGCATCTGCTGTTTTCTTATTTCCTCTACAGATGCAAATCTCCCTCACAAAAAGCAGCTTTTCAGGGCTATTCTTGTGCTTGCAACCCTTCTGATTAGCCGTATCAAAATATACCAAAGAAGTGTATTTTTGGTGAGACACTCCATTCTCCTAATTTTGTATACAGAGGCAGAATTTAGCCAATTAAAGAATATTTTGTGTTGTGCTATCATTATTGGTATTTTTGCTGTTTTGTTATAGTAATAAGCTACAATTACATTTTTTTTAAGACAGAATCAGGGTCTTGCCATGTTGTCCAGGCTGGAGTGCAATGGCTGTTTACAGGTGCAGTCACAGCACACTACAGTCTTGATCTCCTGGGCTCAAGTGATCCCCCTGCCTCAGCCTGAGTAACTGGGATTACAGGCGCATGCCACTACATATAATTACATTTGACTTGAGCAAATGTGTTTAAGTAAAATTTCTTGAATATTAATACAGATTTTACTTGAAAAATAAATGTCTAATTGTGATCAATCAGTGCTTTTCTCTTCCCTTTTTTTTTTCTTTACTTACAGGCAGTACTTAATTTTCCTAAATATTGTGAACCTGTGGTTAAAGGAGAAGGTAACTGTGTAATTTTACTCATTAATATTTATTTTGAGAAAGGTTTTTACAAGATACAAATTACTGAAATTTTCTTCCCTTTGGGATAGCAAGTGAACGTGATACTCGCAAACTGTGGAGAAATATTGAACCTCATTTGAAGAAAGCCATGCAGACTGTTTATCTCAGGGAAGTATCAAGGTAATTTTCTATTTAGTATGCATACTATTTTTTATATCTTATTCAGGATATATACTCTCTCAGCTGAAATAACAGAGAGAGGGACTCTAAAAGAAAACCATACCTGTTTGAGAATTGGCATTGCAATGGGAAAGCACATGCTGTAGTAAACTCTGCATCTTCAGGGAGGTAAAGGAAGACAAGGTTTTTAAAGGAAGAATGAAGTGAATTACATAATTGTTTTGAGATAATTATTCTTCACTACAAGGATCTGTTTCAGTTCAGAGCTGGACAGGCAGTTGCTGGGCAGATGTCCTCATGGAGGTATTTTTTTGTGTAAGATTGCATTAGCCTTTACACAAGGTTATGTTTTTTTTCTGTCTTTTGTAATAGTTCGTTTTATCAGGCATTATGCGTGAGGAGCCTTCGTGGCCTTTCTTGGCCCTGTTTGTCAGGATTTTTAACACGTGACTCCATTTTGATTCTGACAACTTTTACTTTTTCCCCTTTTAATCAAGATTTTTCTCCAAAAGCATTGCTCATCAGTCATCCTGTATTTAGGTTTTTATTGTCCCTTGGTGCCAGAACGGACCTGTCCTGGGTTGTTGTCTGGTCACTTGTTGAAGGGAGTGAATGGTGGCTAGGAGTCAGTGTCAGAACCCTTTTAGCCACAAGGGAGGTTTGAAGGGAGTGGCTAAGTCTACCTAGAGTCCGTTGTTAAGTTTAATTTTGTCTGTTCCATAGGTGTTGGCTGTCATTGCAAAGTGCTTGGGCCAGCGTTGTTCTGTTAGAAGTTGTACTTCTGTAGAAATTGTTTTCTGAGACAGAGTTTCACTCTGTCGCCTAGGCTGGAGTGCAATGGCGCAATCTTGGCTTACTGCAACCCCTGCCTCCCGGGTTCAAGCAAGTCTCCTGTCTCAGCCTCTTGAGTAGCTGGGATTACAGGCTTGCACCACCATGCCTTACTAATTTTTGTATTTTTAGTAGAGACGGGGTTTCACCATGTTGGCCAGGCTGATCTCAAACTCCTGACCTCAGGTGATCCACCTGCCTCGGCCTCCCAAAGTGCTGGCGTTACAGACGTGAGCCACCGCACTTGGCCACTGCAGAAATTTGATGGGCAACAAGTACAAAGTTTACAAAAGAAAATACAAAGTAAAATGTATAGTAATATGACAATCCTAGTTTGTATAGTGCTTTTGAGCTGTGAACCTCGGCTTAAAGGGAACCTACTGAGTAAATCAGATGACCACAGGGAGTTACATGAGACTTCTAACTATGTGGCCTCTTTTCTTACTTGGTTTATGTAGGTCTCAGCTTTCCCAGAGGAATTTATTCAGGTACAGCTTGTGGTATTAGCAGTAACACAGATATTTCCTTATGTAACCAATAGATACAGATCAGTTTTATCATCTAGTATCATATGACTGAGTTGAAATAAAGCAGAGTGAGCTACAATTATATGAGGGATATTGCCCAAGTTGCCCACTAGATGGACTAAAGAATCTTTTAGGTCAGGTTCCGTCAACTTACCAGCAGTAGCTACTGATTGTGAAATTGCAATTATACCATTATCAAGTGAAAATGGTAGGCATTAAGAGGAGTAAGAGTCTCATTATGATGTGGAGTCTTGTTCTAATATCTTCGAAAAAACTGTTTCCACCATGAAACTGTCGACTTCTTATTCTGCTTTGTAGTTTGACTGTCTCTGATTATGGCATTTAGTGGTTTGTTGACCCTTCTGTGTGGTCCACACATCAGGTACAAGGTTTGTTCCTTAAAATTCATCTAGCTTCAATGTATAAGGCTTCAGGAACAGAGTAGTTCCCCTTTTTAGAAATTTTATAGAAGAAAGTTGGATTGGGGGATCCTAGAAGAATTTAGAATCTAGTCTAGGCTACAGGTTGATTATAAAAACTCAAATACGATGCGTAAAGCTACAAACTAATAACAGGTGCATTATAGGTTTTTTTTTTTTAAGAAACATAACCTTTTCTCTCTATGTTGATCACATAGGTATCTCAGATTTTAAAACCTCTTGAGTCTAGGAAGTCAAACCAAGGTCGACTTAAGATTTTATTTAATATCTACAATCTTTAGATTTCTTGGGCTTGCCAGGAAGTGGCATTTTTTACTCACTCACTGTAAGACTGGGAACCCTTGGAACCAGGCAATTCTGTGCACATTTTCTAATGTGATATGACAGTCAAAGTCTTGGTAATATAACCAGTGTTTCCAATTACATCCTGTTATAAAGAGAGAGCAAATTCTTATTGAACTTAGTAAATAAACATATTTTCAAGGAGAAAAAAAAGTCCCCATGAATAGTTTTTGAATTTTAGAGGGATGAAATAGGGAGAAAAAGCAGATGCTTCACCTTGGTTCACAAAATATACTTTACTAAATTGCTAATTAGCAGTTTCCTAAAACTATACAGGTAGCTTAAGAGAGAAAATTTTCTCAAATCTGGAAAACAAAAACAAACAAAAAACTGATAAAGTTTCAAATAAAAATCATAAAAACATCCTCATCAGTTATTCAGTCTCGTGTAATTAATTTTTGTTCTGTTTGATCTTGATTAGCAGTTTCATGAACCCATCATTTCTTCATTAGAGTTCCCATAGATTTTTATTTAGTCCATTATCTTTAAGTTACTAGAAACTTGTATTTAAGAGTACTTGTTAGAATCTTTTTTTATGAATCTGATTGCAAATGATTTTAGATAAAAATCAGAACAATAACTGTAGGCTGACAGAAACTTAAAATAGCCATGGTTAAAAATTTGATGAAAGTTTACCATAATCAGAAATTGACAGGGAAATTTGATTATTTTTTGCAGCATACATATAATCACCACAATTATGACTTGATGATACATTAGATCTCTAAGTTTTATATAATTTTAGAACACTGAATTAATCACATACCTATAAATATAACTAAAAGAAGATCCAGTATTACTTATCATTTGGCAATGCTTCTTACACAATTTACAAAATAAATTTAATCATTTAATATCTTTACAATGTGGCTTTCCAGGGGCCTAGCTAGAAAATCCAAAAGTTAGTTCTAGGTCAAAAATGTTTAAGTTAGAATTTTGATACTGGGGAGGTCTATCAAAGATGCGAAAAGGTTTAAAACACCTGTTCAAAACAGGATCACAGGTCACTGTAAAATAGTAGTCATTCATTTAACCAGAATGATAATCAAAGGACTTCAAAAGCAATATAGAAAGTTACCTGGATTTAAAAAACATTAACCCTTTCAAAGCTATTTTCCTAAGTAATAAAAAATAAAAAGCTAGTAAGAACACAGAAAGTTATCTTGATAAAATGCAAAATATTTGTTTCTTGGGCCAGTTACCAAAAAAGTAGAGAAAAACCTCTTGCAATGTAATTGCTTCTCCTTATGGGAAGCCCATTTAGATAACCTGGAAGTTGAATCCAGCAAAAACAGTATTTGAATGTAATCAGACACAGGAAGAATGTGTGGTCAAGGTTATGAGAACACACCATGAGTGTAAACAAGAAAACTAGTACCTTGAGCAGGGAAATACATGGCTTTTAGTAACAGCATGGGAACTTTCCTGGTTACATGGAATAATTCAGACACATTCAGAAAAGCCAATTGTACAGAATCAAGTTATACTGGAGGAAAACATTGCTTTTGTAGGCCATGAAGACAAATATTTTAGAATTAAGACTGTAACAGCAGAGTTATAATCAGAGGAAAAAAGTTACAGGAGCTGATGAAAAAGTTAAAGGAGAGCGTTATCACCTCAGTCAAGATTAAAGGTGTACTTTTTCAAGGGGAGAAAGAGTTGAAAGCAGTGATGTATGCAGTAAGATGCAGCAAACATTAAACTTCTGAGATATAAATCTGAGGAGCTTTAAGAGGAAAACTCTACCTCAAGAAATGAAATTACCATCCTAAGTGAAGAAGACAGCTTTACAAATGTGAAACTAGAAAATTAAATGAAGACTGTGAAACAGGAAAAAAAAATTTTTTTTTCTAATGTAGTGGACCAAATTTTTAGTTTTGTATTGAGGATTGAGGGATATATTTATCTCAAACTTTAATCTTTGGAAAGACTTACAAATAATTCCCTTCTAATTACAGCCAACTTGATCATACGCAAATTTGTTTAATAAATGTACCCGTCACAAACCTTATAATGATTTACATAAACTGTCCATGACATGCTTAGATCTTTAGTTATTTTCTTATACTTTTAAATAACTACATTTAGGACAAAATATTTACCACACAAAATTATTTCTCAAATTTATCCTTTTTTTTGACTGGGTGTGATGCTTCACACGTGTAATTCCAGCACTTTGGGAGGCCAAGGCAGGAGAATTGCTTGAGCATGGGAGTTCAAGACCAGCCTGGGCAACATGGTGAGACCCTGTCTCTTAAAAAAAAAAAAAAATCACTTTTCTTTTTAACCTTCTTTTACCTAAAATACATATTTATACCCTTAACTTTACACATCTGTGTCTCCTACTTACTGGTTCCTTTCTATCATGTTTCTATTTTCTTAAATTTACATTTTAAAATAACCTTAAATAACCTTCAGAATTTAGACAAAATTATGCTTTTTTCTCAATAAGGAACACTTTTTTTTGGCTTTTTAAGAATTCTCATTACAAACACATCTTACGTTTTGGGATACACTTTGTGTACAGAATTATATATGTTAATTAGAATTGTTAAGGTAACTTTTAGTAACCTTATTAATAAATGGTGCTAGGAAATCTGGCTAGCTATATGCAGAAAAACAGAAACTAGACCCCTTCATACACCTTATACAAAAATTAAGATGAAGTGAAGACTTAAATGTAAAACCCAAAACCATAGGCAATACCATTCAGACATAGGCGTGGGCAAAAGAAGAAAACCTAGGCAATACCATTCAGGACATAGGCGTGGGCAAAAGAAGAAAACCTAGGCAATACCATTCAGACATAGGCGTGGGCAAAAGAAGAAAACCTAGGCAATACCATTCAGGACATAGGTGT